CATTTCTTGTAAGAGCAGTCTGTCTGGTGGTGGTGAATTCCTTTAATTTTTGTTTGTCTGAGAAAGACTTTATTTCTCCTTCATTTTTGAATGATAGCTTTGTTGGGTATAATATTCGAGGCTGGTAGTTATTTTTTCCTGTTACTTTGAATATATTATCCCATTCTCTCCTGACCTGTAGGGTTTCTGCTGAGAAGTTGGCTGTTAGTGCAACTAGGATCCCCTTATAAGTGACTTGATTTTTTTTCTTGCTGTTTTTGGAATTCTCTCATTGTCTTCAATTTTGGATAGTTTGACTATGGTGTGTCTGAGAGAGGACCTATTTGGGTTGAATATATTTGTGGACTGTTGAACTTCCTGGATTTGGATATTCATATCTTTCCCAAGACTATGGAAGTTTTCAGCTATTATTTCACTAAGTAGATTTTCATTATCCTTTTTGTTTGTTTTCTTCTCTTTCTGGAATGCCCATAATTGGAATATTTTTCACTTAACAGTATCCCATATATCTTGTAAGCTTTGTTCATTCTTTTCTCTTTGTCTTCTTGTGTTATTTCAAAACTGCTATCTCCCAAATCAAAATTCTTTCTTCTACTTGATCTAGTCTGTTGTTGAGACTCCTAGATGTATTTTTTACTTCAATGAATTCGTCAATTCCAGTATTTGTTTTTTAAAAATGATATATTTGTTGAATTTTTCATTCAGATTGTGAATTCTTTTTCTGATTTTCTTGAATTGTCTGTATTCTCTTGTATTTCAGTGAGTTTCCTTAGGCTCATTAATTCAAATTTTTTTCTGGCAAGTCAGCAATTTCTGATATTCTGGGATTAGTTACTGAAGCATTGTTTTTTTTTTTTTTTTAAAGATGACCGGTAAGGGGATCTTAACCCTTGACTTGGTGTTGTCAGCACCACGCTCAGCCAGTGAGTGAACCGGCCATCCCTATATGGGATCCGAACCTGCGGCCTTGGTGTTATCAGCACCGCACTCTACCGAGTGAGCCAAAGGCCGGCCCCCTGAAGCATTGTTTTTTTGGTGGTGTCATGTCACCTTGTTTTTTCATGTTCTGTGTTTCCCTGCACTGATATCTGTGCATCTGGTGGAACAGTCACCACTTTGAGTTTTGTGGAATGGCTTGTGTGGGGAAGACTTTCAGCTGCAAGTGCGTCCTAGGGTGTCAGTTGGGTAGAGTGTAATGGCTTTGTTCAGGATGGAAGCAGTAGTGTAGACTCTGTGTAGTTATTTCAGCTGTAATCCACTTTTGCTGTCTCTGAGTGAATCAGCAACTTATGCTTGGGAGGTTTGTGGCATAAGTGCCATAGCCTTGCCGGGAGAGGGATATCTGGGTTGGTTGGCCAGGGGTGTTCGTGTGCACCTTGTGGGTCATCAGTCTCAGGAGCTGACTCACTGGGGATGTGGTTGCTGGATTGACTCTCAGGCTGAGGGTGTGGATGTATGGCATGTCAGGGTCTCTGAGACTGGTTTTCCAGTGGCAGGTTCTCTGTGCTGCTTATCTGACCAGGGGTAGGCCTGCCAGTGGCACATCAGCCAAGCCATTCCTCACTTGGATGTGTGTGTGCATGTGATGGCTCACAGACTCAAGGGCAGATCTTCCAGGGGTGTGAGATCTGAGATGTTTCTCTGAACTAGGGGCATGGGTCCACTTTGGCTTGGCTAGCTGAGTGCGAGCCATTGGCACTTCAGCTGTGCCACTTCTTTGAGCCAGATGTGAAGTTGTGCCTCCCTTGGCAGTTCAGGAGCTGGCCTGCCAAGGGCAGAGATGCTGAGCTGCTTCTCAGGAAGTAGACAAGGCCAATAGGCAGGGCTGCAGTGAGGGGGACTGTCCAGCCACTTCTTGGACTGTTCAGGATGAGACTGTTCAGGATGGGACTGCTCAGTTTCTTCTCCTGGAGGGTGTGGATGCACTTTATTTCCACCAGCCCAAGGGAGCATTCATTAGGGTGGAGACCCATAAAGTATATTTCTGGGTTGGGGGCCCAGGCACCTACAACTGCCAGCTGGTGTGGTTGGGGGTAGGGGGAAAAATGGGGGTAGCCTGCTTGAGGCAGGTCTGCCTGTCTGATCTCTGGCCAGGGACATGGGGGTGCATCAGTTGAGCAGGTCTAGTGTTGGCTTCCCAAACTGCGGAATTAGAATCACAGTTGCTGTGCACCCAGGCTTCAAGCCACTTGGATCAAGGCACTGTAACCTCTCCTATGAATGTGCTGGGATGAGGCCATGTGTGTTCCAGGGAAGCACCATGGCTACTGTCCCCAGAGAAGGATGTGCTCCTGCAATGGCTCTGGTTTTAAGTTGGTGCAATTCTGTACCAGCTTGGGTCTCGAGGATGGGGGGTGGGGAGTGCTCTCTTTGTGCTCCTGTTCTACAATGATGCAGCATGTGTTCCAGGCAGCTCCCCACACTTGGCTCCAGGTTTGTCCTGTAAATGGTTCTACAGGCCTCTGTGGTGAGGATGAGGGTTGCTGTGGGTCCTTTGCCTACCTTTTCACTGCAAGGGAAAACTCCTCCTGTGCTGACGCTGATTTCAGAGATGTGGCTGCTGAGGCCATGTGCCTCTCTCCTATGCTGCCATCCTGGGCTTTCATGCTCCACAGGGACCTCACCAGTCTCCCACTGCACTCCTGTTCCCTCCCACAGATGCTCCCATCAATATTTACCTGTTAGTTGTTCTGGTCCTCTTCTGTAGGAGGAATGTGCCCTGGGCACCTCTAGTCTGCCATCTTCCCTGCCTCCTAAAATGCCACAAACTTTCAAAGAAGCTCATCCTTTAAGGTTTCACTCAATATAGTTTCTGCCTGATTAGGGTTGTCCTCCCATGACTTCAGATGGTTGTGTTACAAATTTTGTCTAAATTTAACGTTTGTTTTCCTACAAAGTGTTAGTTTTGCTAAGCTACTTTGCCATTGGGGATGTGTGGGTCTATAGTTTTCATCAAATTTGGAAAATTTTTGTCTTTTAGTTTTTCAGAGTTTTGTCTCCATACTCCTCTCCCCCAACTGAAGACTCCAATCACATGTGTATTATATCACTCGATATTGTCCCACCCATCACTGACTCTTTAGGTCTTCCACTGAGACTTTGGGTTCATGGGGCACCTTCCCCTGGTGGATCTTTGTCTCCTTAGCATGATGAGGCTAAAGGAAACTGCACCCTAATTTTTAGTTTGCTGAATTTGGTTTTAGTCTCCTACTTTGTACAACCTGAGAATTTGGCAACTGTTGGGAAGTGAAAAGTGGCCATGTGTGGAAGCCCCTAAGTTGCCAATTTGGTTGTTCCAGCTCTACGTGACTGCCAAAAGCTGGGGTGGTTGTTCCAACCCTGGGGTACCTCCCAACCAATGTGCAAAAGCGAGGAGTCCAGTTAAGGAGCTATGGCAATAACGTAGGTGACAGCCCATAGTGGTTTGCAAAAGGGTAATAACAGTGAAAATAAGAAGTGGTCTGATTTGAAGCGTTTTTAGAGGGTAGAGCAAACAGGATGAGAATGTTTGCTCATTGCCTCATGTAAGGAGATCTTGTAAAACTTCAAAATCTAATAGGAGAAAAATGTTTTGCATATAATTTTAAGGTGTATTTTTCTCACTGACAGATTTTGAGCATCTTTTCATATTTTTAAACACTGGAGTTTTGGAGGGCAGAGAGTGAACTGATATCCTTTGCTAATTTTCCACTGAGATGTTGTTTCTGTTTTTTTCTTATGAATCTTATAATTATTATTAGGAAAGTAAGCTATTTGTGATGTGACTTATTTATCTTTTGTCTTTGCTTTAGGGTTTTATGTTTTTGTTATAAGGAGCTCTAATATTTATTTATTCAAATCTCTTGAGTTTTTTTTTTTTTTTTTTTTTTTTTTTTTCGTGACCAGTAAGGGGATTGCAACCCCTGGCTTGGTGTTGCCCGCACCGCGCTCAGCCAGTGAGCGCACCGGCCATCCCTATATAGGATCCAAACCCGCAGCGGGAGTGCCGCTGTGCTCCCAGCGCCGCACTCTCCTGAGTGCGCCACGGGGTCGGCCCCAAATCTCTTGAGTTTTACTTGTATGACTTCTGGATTTTGAGTTTCAGTTTAAAATAGCCTTTACTAATCCAAACTATCAAGTCAGTCCATGTTGCACTGAAGATTGTCTTGCTGTGTGGTGTGAGGTGAAGCTCTGCCTTTAGCTTTATCCTGCATGTCTAGTCATTTAACAGCATTTACTTTTTATTTTTTTTCCTGACCAGTAAGGTGATCACAACCCTCAGCATGGTGCCGCCTGCACCACACTAAGCCCATGAGCGCACCGGCCATCCCTATATAGGATCCAAACCCGCGGCTGCGGCGCTACCAGTGCCACACTCTCCTGAGTGAGCCACGGGGCTGGCCCATAACAGCATTTATTGAAAAGTGTATGGGGCCACCCCATGGACTTGAGGTGCTAACTTTATTTTTTTTTAATTGTGGTTTCCTTTCTTGAAATTTTATTTATTTTTAAATTGTATCTGTAAATTGCATTTAATTGTATTAAACTGTATTTATTTTGTACATGTTTTGCAGTATATATACATTGTGGAATGACTAAATCTAGCTAATTAACATATACATCATTTCATAAAGTTATCATTTTTGTGGTGAGAACACCACACTCCCAGTATTTTTTAAGAATACAATATACTGTTAACTGTAGTCACCATGTTGCAAAATAGATTTCCTAAACTTATTCCTCCAATCAAAAATTTGTAACCTTTGACTAATATCTCCCCATTGCCCAACCCCCACCTCAGTCTCTGGTAGCCACCATTCTACTCTCTACTACAGCGAGATCAACTTATTTAGATTCCACATATCAGTGAGGTCATGTACTATTTTGTCTGTGTCTGGCGTATTTCACTTAACATAATGTCCTCCAATTCTATCAATGTTGTAGCAAATGACAGGATTTCTTCCTTTATTAAGGCTGAATAGTATGCTGTTGTGTATATGTACCAACCTGTCCCCATGTCTCCTGTGGCACTGTCAGCAGGGTGTGCTGCTGGATTTGAAGGGAATGACTTGGCAGGCCCTTCTCAAGGCCAGGCCCCTAGGCTGGTGCTCACCCGGTGTCCCAGCCAGAGGCCTGGGGCTGCCTGACCAACAGCAGCTCTCTCTGTAAGCATAACAGGATAAGCCCATTCAGTGACACACCATCTGTCAGCCTGGGATGAATAGCACATGAAGCAAAGGTTTGGGCCACCCACCCAGTGGAGAGTTGATGGTGTCTCCAGCTTTGGTTGTGGATTTGTCTACTCCTCTAAGCTAATTTCCACTTTATATATGCTAAGGCTGATGTGTGAGGTGCACAGACATTAGAGTTTTTATGTCATCCTGATAGATCAAATCTTTTATCAGTATAGATTTTACTCTATCTCTAAAACTGCTTTTTCCCTTAAAGTCAACTCTGTCTGGGCTATTTTGGCTTTGTTTTGTTTTTTTCATGAAATACACATAATCTTTTATTTCTCTTTAAATCCGTATTTATCCTGGTACTTGGGGTCTGCGTCTTGTTTAACATTTGGGGATGCCCAAGCGGCAGGACCAGGGCCAGTGGGACTGTCCCCTGTGGGTAGTGGTGGGGGTGGCAGGGGAGACTTGCAGGTCTGTCACCAGGATGGGGGGGGCGGGGCAGGAGCAGCTGCGGCCTGGACCTCCATCACTAAGTTTATAGCCTGGTCTCCTAGGAGTGGCCCCTGCCATCTGGATGAAGTCTTCTATTCCGAGTGGGTACCCACTGAGACTTAAGCTGAATGCAAACCCAATCAAAATTCAGAGAGGGCTTTGTGGATGTGGGAAAGAAGTTGACACAGATTTAAAAAACAAAAAACGAATCAATGTGAAAGGGAATAATAAAAAACAGAGATTTACTGTACAATGTATTAAAAGGAATGTAAAGCTACTATAATTTTAGACATTACCTTATTTATGCACAAGTATCTGCGAATACTCAGTGAAATCAAAAAGAGTCTAGTTAGAGGCCAGGGAAATTCAGTCAAGTCAGAACTCAATTACAAATAGGAGTAGCCCACCTCAGCGGAATGTTAAGCAAAACAAATAAACAAAATTTAAAAATACATGTTCAATATCAATCACAGGAAGAGGCACGTGGTGAGGGGCTCAGAGGTGTCCAGACTGCCCAGGCCTTTAGGCCACCGGGACACCCTGCTCATGGCCTCTCTCCACCCCACAAGCACAGACTCCTGATAGTGTGGACAGCTCCACTCAAACAGGTCTGCAATCACCACAATTACAGAGGGCACAGGAGACTCACTCCATATCCTGGATGAAATAATCACCATGTAGTGCTGGACATGCAGCACTCTGGCTGGCATGTCTGGGTCATGTGACACCCCTGTGGTCACACAGCTGTCCTGTTACTAAAATAATCTGGGGGAGGAGTGCTGGGCAGACAAAAACAACAGCCACTCCAAATAATTTAGTACATTATTAAGACAGTATCTCAAATCAGTGGGTTTTATAAGTTATATGTGTGCTTTCTCAAAACTCACATGTGGAAGCCCTAATCTCCAGTGAGACTGTATTTGGAGAAAGGAACTTTAAGGAGGTACTTAAGGTAAAATGAGGTCATGGAGAAGGGCCCTAATCCTACAGGACTGCTGACCTCATAAGAGGAAGAGATATCAGAACTTTCTCTCTCCCCCCAGGAGCACAGTGGAAAGGCCACGTGAGGACACAGCAAGATGGCAGCCATCTCCAATCCAGGAAGAAAGGCCTTATCAGAAACAAATATGTCAGCACCTTGATCTTGCATTTTCAGCCTCCAGAACTGTGAGAAGACAAATGTCTGTTTAACTCATCTGACCAGAGTTATGTTATGGCAGGCTGAGCAGAATAACACAATAGATTAGGAGTAAATTAGTCATAAGTCATCCTCTAAGGAAGTGACATTAGAAGAAAGTAAAGTCAGAACTCAACTCACAACAACTCTTGTCAAGCAACACCAGGAAGAAGCATCAACGAACAACTCAGTTTCGACAATATTCACTTTCAACATTCTAAAGGATAGCCATGTTCCAAGAATAATGTTCTACTGATACTACAGCTTATCAATACAGAAACACATTTCCTTCAAACAATGAAATGACTTTATTCCTAGTGCTTGGAGTTATCCAGGATGCAATAACAGCCATCCTTGAAGCAATTTCTAAAAAGTAGTAATTCTACACTGTAGTTGCAATATGCAATATTTCTGAAGTGAATGACTGCTACAAAATCAATCTGACAGTTAAGATGCCTTGTGCTTTAAGAAACAGAAGCCCACAACTTCACTGCCCTAAAAACAAGGGAACTATTACATACATGTGACTGACATGCCTTAAGGCAACCTCTTCTGAATCACTTCCTCATGTACTCCTCTGCCCTGGAGTGTGCCTGGGACCAGTGACTTGGCTCTAACCAAGAGAATATGGCAAAAGTGCATGGATGTCACTCTCGTGATTATGTTATTTAAGACCATCCTAGCAGACGGAGACAATCCTTCCCCTGCTGGCAGCCCTGTGTGCCCTGTGTATGGAGTGGGCCAGGGGTCAGGGTACTGTGAGCAGCCTCCAGCCGGCAGTCAGTAGAAAACCAGGCCCTCCATCGTACACCCTCAAGGGAGCAAATTCTGCTCAAGCCTGAATGAGCTCGGAAGCAGATGTCCTCAGTGGAGCCTCCGGAGGAGAGTGCAGCCCAGCAAACACCTTAACTACAGCCTGCCGGGATCTGGAGCAGAGGACCCGTTTAAGCCATGCCCAGACTCCTGACCCACAGAAACTGGGAGACAGTAAGTATGTGTTGTTTTGAGCTGGTAATTTGGTGGCTATTTCTTATGTAACCAGAGAAACCTAATGATCCGCATAAATGTCCCAAAGCAGAGCAGCTCTTGGTTGGCTGCTCAGTGGCCCTTAACATCATCATTCCTGCTGGTTCTACAGCGTCCTGCCCTGCCACTCTCAGGCCCCACACGAGGCCACGAAATGCAACCAGGGACATGTCCACAAAGATCAGTGTCCTGCTGCAAAAGAGCCATTTTTACCATGCCTCTATTTGCCTTTGAGGAAACTTTCCCAGACATGCCACAGAATCCTCCTAGTATGTCACTGTACAGAGCTGGAAGACACACTCGGCCAAAAAAACCACTAAAGGAAAGATTATAGCCTGAACTAATTATAGAAAGCTCAACAAAGATAAATCCCGGAATAACTCTGTATACAAGTGGTAACGAAACCAAACCCAGACTTTGCCAAAAATTGAGAGATGGCTGTTGTGTAGACAAACAACTGTTATCAGCCCCTACCAATTTATTACAGAGTAATACGTGAATTGTAAGAGCCATCACCATCATAGCTGCAGACTATAGTTTACCAAAAGCCAGATAACATCCATGTCACTTTACGCCTCATGACCCTGTCCCTTTTTGAATATGAAGAAACAGAAGCACAGAGAGGTTAATGTCAAAAGTCACACACAAGAGCAGAAGCGCCAGCATTTGCCTTGTCACCCCCATGAGCGGCAAGGCATGTGCAGCTGCAGGACTTGCTTGGCTGCACAGCACTTGGGCACTCACACGCGTGCTGCTGCCCACTTACAGATGTGGCAGGAACAAGGAGCGTGTGTCCTTCCGGACTGCTTTTCACTGAGTAGAATGAAATTACTAATGTTCACAGCTATTTAAATTAATTCAGACTGAACCTGTTAAAAATTATGTGTCTGATTTGGGCATTTCCATGAAAACAGTGTTTCTACTAGCCCCACTGGCTGGCACTGTGTGGACTTCTAACTAAACAATCATCTCCTTTACTTAAGAGAGAGTTTTATAACAATGGTCATACAAACTTACATACTAGGAGAGGAGGAAAAATATATGTAGTGCAATACATTAGATATTTAATATATCTAACAAGATACAAAGGGGTGAGAGTGGCATTTAATGTGGAAAATTCTAATATGTATTACACTATTAATTATGCTAGGCGTATATATTCCCTATCCATGTTATGCTGGGTCCCGTTAAAGAAAGTTTCTATTGACACAGAAAACTCTATATATAAACCCTACATACTTGAAGGGCTGTTCTGTGCACTGTAAGCTGTTCAGCAGCAGCCCTGACCTCTATCCAGTGGATGGAGTAGCACCTCCCAACCTCCAGTTGTGAAAACAAAGTGTCTCCAGATGTATCCAAATGTCCCTTGATTGGCAATATCACCATCATATTTAACTACTGGCATATAATACTTAAAAAGTGTTTTCAATACTATATTTGACATTTCTATTTGGAAATTTTACATCCATATTACATAAACTGTTTTCCCTTCACTCCAAATTCTGAAACATAAAAATATTGGAAGTTTTGCTGAAAGCTTTGAATCACTGAAGATACTTATAAAGATGTGCAACATTCAATGAGATGTCCCTGCCTGATAAGGTGGTCCCAGTGTGTTGTTTTTCTCCTCATGATTTCTTGGATTTTTTCATAAACTGACATGGGGATAAAAGGTTGACTACACAGGTTTCTTTCCTGTGTGAATTTTCTGATATACAAGGACTGGTACCTTTTCTCATAACGTTCATGTACTGAATTAGCTATAGTGGGCTGTTTGTGTTATGATGCAAACAGTTCACTCATACAATGGCTCGACAGAGCAGGTGTTTACTTCTCACTTGTATAAAGTACAAATGGAGGATTTGGGGATAAAGGTGGGAGGATCTCTGTTCTTTCCAATCAATTCCTTGTCTTCAATCACAGTGACCTTCTCCCACCTATAGCTCCCAAGGCCACCCTGGGGGTCATGTGCACTTCAGACACACAGGACATAAGTCAGGGAGGACTGCATGGACTTTTTTGTTGTCACGCATGGAAGTAACATTCATCACTTGTGTCCATATTCCCCTGGACAGAGCTCATTACATGGCCTGAGGGGAAGCTGAGAATGCAGGCGGTGTGTGTCTCAGAGAAAAGAGAGTCATTTTTGGAGAACACATAGCCAGTCTGTCACACAGGATCTTCCCCTTGTGTGAGTTCCCTGACGCCTATGGAGTTGTAATTTCTGGCAAGAGGTTTTCCCACATTCATAGGGTTTCTCCTCTGTGCTGATTAGCCTGATGCACCCTGAGGCTTGACTTTTGGCAAAAGGCTTTTCCACATTTACTATATCCGTAGGGTTTCTCTCCTGTGTGAGTTCTCTGATGTACTGTCAGTTTTGACTTCTGGTAGAAAGTTTTCCTACACTCTTTACATTCAAAGGGTTTCTCACCTGTGTGAATTCTCTCATGTAGAGTGAGGGCTGACTTACAGAAGAAAGTTTTCCCACATTCTTTACATTCGTAGGGTTTCTCACCTGTGTGAATTCTCTGATGTAGAGAGAGAGCTGATTTCTGGCAGAAAGTTTTCCTACATTCTTTACATTCATAGGGTTTCTCGCCTGTGTGAGTTCTTTGATGTACTCTTAGTTTTGACTTCTGGTAGAAAGACTTCCTACATTCTTTGCATTCATAGGGTTTCTCACCTGTGTGAGTTCTCTGATGTAGAGTGAGGGCTGACTTCTGGCAGAAAGTTTTTCTACATTCTTTACATTCATAGGGTTTCTCACCTGTGTGAATTCTCTGATGTAGAGTGAGGGCTGAGTTACGGTAAAAAGATTTCCCACATTCTTTACATTCATAGGGCTTCTCACCTGTGTGAGTTCTCTGGTGTAAAGTGAGGGCTGACTTATAGTAGAAAGTTTTCCTACACTCTTTACATTTGTAGCGTTTCTCACCTGTGTGAGTACTCTGATGTAGACTGAGGGCTGACTTATGGTAGAAAGATTTCCTACACTCTTTACATTCATACAGTTTTCCTGTGTGAGTTCTCTGATGTAGAGTGAGTGCAGACTTCTGGTAGAATGTTTTCCCACATTCAGTACATTCATAGGGTTTCTCTCCCATGTGAATTCTGTGATGTATTATAAGGGGTGACTTCTGGCGGAAGGTTTTCCCACATTCATTACATCCATAGGGCTTTTCCTGTGTGTGAATTTTCTGATGGATAGTAAGGCCTGATTTACGGCTGAAGGGTTTTTTACACTGGTAACATGCATAGAGCTTTTTCCCTGTGTGTGTCCTCTGATGTACTGTAAGGTCTGATTTGCTAATGAAGTTTTTCTCACATTCAATACACTCACAGAGTTTCTTTCCTGTATGTGTCTGGTGATGTTTAGTGTTTAGTTTACAGGAGGCTTCTCTCATATGAGCCCTCTTACATGTAGAGAACACAGCCTTTGTGTTGAAACCCTTCCTTTGTCCACCATGTTCAAAAGGCTGCTCCCCACTGTGAATCTTGAAATGCTGACTAAGATGCTCATGATGTCTTGGGGACTTCCCAAGTCTATTATGGTCATCAGGTTGCTCTTCCATGTGCATCTCATCAGGCTCTATAGAGAAAAGTGTGTTCTGGCATACATTAATCCCCTTTGGCTTCTTTCCTGAACAGTTTCCATTATTTATAATCATATCTGAAATATGGTTTGAGCTCAAATTAAATGATTTTCCTAACTCAACTCTCTCTTCAGTTGATGTGTTGCTGTTGGTGATTACAACCTGCCACAAATGTGCGCAGTGACTTTCTTGGCTCCTCTCAATTAAGTCAGGGAAAATCTGAACATCTAAAATGAGAAAAAAAACCCATATCCATAAACTGCATGTAAGCATTTCTTACGGAATGCTCATGTGAATGTAGAGAAGTTCCTTCCTATCCTAGTGGCATAAGACTTTATAAAAAGCAATAACACTATTATAAGTATATGGTTTTTATTCCTACTGACAATGTAATATATTAATAGATTTTCCTAACCCAAGTCATGTTTTTCTTTGTATTTTTATGTTTTTCTAATTCATGAAGAAATATTTGGTGAAAAATCCCCCTACTGCCTAGTCATAGTTTTCAACTTTACTTATCACCTGCCACTTGTTTTCCATGTCCTGTTTCTCTATTTTATTCTTAAAACAATGGTGTGTTTCTTGTGCTGGTATTTTTCTTGTTATACGGCTTTGAAGATGGCAAGATTTTCCTGGATCAGCTACTTGCAGGTCCAAGAGAGGGTCGTGTGTCTGTCCATTAAGCAGAAATATGGCTTATGGACAGGATTTTGCCACTATGTTCATTTAGTTTTTACTCTTCCTGGGGGAATGGCTATAGGCATCTCGGAGTTTTTCAAATACAAAATCTCTTCCCCTGCTAGTGAAAACGGCTTCCTGAAAATTCCTAATTTAACCTGACTTCCTCTACTTCTCAGAATCATAACAGGTACAGGAAGCTCCAGTCCGCCATCCTGGGCACCCCCTCTCTGCTGGTCTAAAAGATTTGGTTCTGCAACCCAGGCCGTGCCGACTCTTTTTGAAAAATGTATTTCTGGTGGGGTCCCCTTGAATCTAAATTTTATACTCACCTATGTACTACCTGTCAAAATTAGAAGAGTTAACTCATATTGAAGCTATGCCAAAGTAAACACTTAACAATACCCCTAAAACTGCCTTCTCTGAACATCTATCCTACATTCTCATATCCCATTTTCTCTTTCTCTCACACTGGTTAAATATTCCTCATAATTCTTATAGAACTACTTTATATTTTTCTCATATCAGAATTTAAACTGTATGAAAGAGGGATATCATTTACATCACTGCTGTTGTAAGTACAACTATAAAATTACCAGTGCCGCTCAATTAATATGTGCTGAAAACATAAATGAATGTACAAACAAATGCCTGAAAAAAAAAATCCATGAAAATAGAAGAAAAGAGGACAACTGAGAATATTGAGGATAGCAACAAAAACAGTATCTAAAAAGAAATAAGTAGGGATTAGGTTTTGGGTAAATATAAAAAAAACACTCAGTGAAATAAAAGGTGGGGGTATGTATGTGACAGCCATCCTTGGAGATTATATTTTGCATGTGTTTAATGCATGCAGACCAGCTGTCTGTCCTCAGGTCTGCACCTTGGGGAAAAACTGGTAAAAACAGCTGAACACAGTTCCATCTGCTGGGCTCTACTCTTCCTGGCCTCCCTACCCTGTATCTGCTGACTGACCTGGGAGGTTGTGGTTTGGATGTTCTTCTGCCATCCATGGCTTGCCTCCTTGCTCCAAGTTGAAGATCACCTCAGGTTTGATAATGCAGTGACCTGTTAATGGAAAATAATGTGGGAATTTGGCTAAACTACTAAGTTAGGTACTTTAAAGAATGACAACCTGAAGCCGTGGGGCCAATTCAAACCTTTTATTTGAGAGCGATGACGCTTGCCTCCTTGCTCCAAGTTGAAGATCACCTCAGGTTTGATAATGCAGTGACCTGTTAATGGAAAATAATGTGGGAATTTGGCTAAACTACTAAGTTAGGTACTTTAAAGAATGACAACCTGAAGCTGTGGGGCCAATTCAAACCTTTTATTTGAGAGCGATGACAGCCACATTCTCCATGAAATGAAATCTAACCTAAATAGTATTAAAACTTATAAATAATTCCTATATTTAAAAACAAAGAAGAAAGTGTTGTTTTGGGGAGTTACTGGGGAGTTTCACTCACCCAATGATGCCAGGCTGCTGTAGGTCTCCAGCATCACATCCCTGTACAGGGTCCTCTGAACATCATCCAAGTCCTGCCACTCCTCCCAGGTGAATTCCACAGCTACATCCTCAAAGGATACTGACCCCCTGTAATAGCATATTTCTGTGTGTGCATGTGTCTTATACATATCTTAAATAAAATGCAACTTCTTGTAATCTATAGTGAAAGAAAAATCACAGAAGCAACATCCTGCCATTGCAATAATTTACTAATAAATAAAAGTAGTACTACAAAGTTCTCTTTATAGATCTAGAGTCATCCTTGTTGCTAGGAACAAAAGTATGAATAAGCTTCTCTGCTAAGGAGATTATAATCTGGTATAAAGGCATAAGCATAAATATATGCCTGAAATAACAAGTTAGATAAACTAATTTTGATACAAGTTTAACATAGACTGGGGTAAGTAGGAAGAAATAAAGTTCTATTTTGTGTTCAGATTGCACTTCACTGGAATATCAAAGATGTTTAGCTCTTCCATGTGAACCACATGCTCTCAGATATGAGGCAACAGCAGAAGTCCAGTTGCAAGGGCACAAAGAATACAAACCACGTTAATGGAAGTACACACAGCACTGTGTCTAGATGAATGATCCTGGGCCGTGATGAGAGAGAAACACAACGTTGAAGGAACAGATTATGAAGTGACTCTGCATTTAAATATTTAACCCAATTCACAACAAAAATTTATGCATTTATTGTTGTTTTCTAGTTACACACAAATTAAAAGCACGTATACAGGTGTATTAGGCCATTTCTGTTGCTTATAACGAAATACTTGGAACTGAGTGATCTATCAGAAAAAAAAAAATTATTGCTTACAGTTTCAGAGGCTTGAAGTCCAAAGTCCAGGGAACACATCTGGTGAAGGCTTTCTTTGGTGTGATTTCAATGAAGGCAGGGTATCACATTGCAAAAAGGCAGGGCAGAGAGAGTGAGAGACTCTTCATGCTCCCCTTTTAAAACCCTCCAAACCATGCCCATGACCACCATTTTTAATCCATTCACTATGGCATGGTCCTACAATCTAATCATCTCTTCAAGACCCTGCCTTTCAGTTACTATAATAGGATTTCCCACCCTCAATAGATACAGTAGCAGCAAAGTTTCTAATACATAAAACTTGGGGGACACAATTCAAGCTTCAGTTAGTTTTGGGGGGACATAAGTCAATCCACTATATTCTACCCCTGACCCCCCAAATTTATGTCCTTCTCACATGCATGTACATTCGTTTCACCCCCAAAGTCTTAACTTGTTTCAACTCAAAAGTCCACAATTCAAAGTCCCATCTGTGAAATCAATACAAGTTATCTACTTCCAAGATACAATAGTGGGACAGACATAGGGTACATATTCCTATTCCAAAAGGGAGAAATAGACCAAAAGAAAGGTGTAACAGTTTCCAAACAAGTCTGAAACCCAGCGGGGCAATCATTAATTCTCAAATCATGTACTTTGACCCCAAGTTTGGCATCCTCTGCACCCTGGTGTGGGGGTTCCACTCCTATGGCTTTCCTGGTCTCACACAACACTTCGGCTCTCCCAGGCTGGTGTTCCACTCTGATAGCTCCACAAGTCTGGGGTCCCATGGTGGTCCAGCTCTCATGGCTCCACTAGGCATGGTGCTGATGGGGTTTCTCTGCTGCAACTCCAACTCCACATTTCTGCTCAGCACTACTCTAGCGAAGGCTGTCTATGGTGACTTTGCCTTTGAGACAGATCTCTTCATGGGCTCCAGACTTTTCCATACATCCTTTGAAATCAGGGTGGAGGTTCCCAAGCCTCCACAACTCTGGCATTCTGCAGACTTATCATGTGGACACCACCAAGGCTTTCAGCTTCTATTTTCCAAAGCTGCATGTCCAGGCACACCTGGGGCCAATTTAGCCATGCCTGGAGCAGCCAAAGCAGCTGGGATACTGATGTGGGGAGCAGCAACCTGAGGTGGCCCTGGGCAGCAAGCCCATGGAGGGCACCTCAGGCCTGTTCCCCAAGATCATTCTCTCTCCCTAGGACTCTGGGCCTGAAATGGAAGGGTTGGCCCCAGACGCTTCTGCAATACCTTCAGGGCCTTTTTCTCTTTCTCTTGATAATCCGTTTCTTCTGTGGTAATCTTCTTAGCACCACTGTAATTTTCTTCTGAAAATGCTCTCTGCTTCTCTACCATGTGGCCAGGCTGCAAAATTTTCAAATATTTACATTCTGCTTCCCTTTTAAGTTCTGGCTTTAAGTCATGCCTTTGCTGCCATAATTTAGTGTAGGCTGTTACATGTAGCCATGCAGCTTCCTTAATGTTTTGCTACATAGAGATTTCTTCTGCCAAATATTCTGGTTCACAACCCTTAAGTTTCACAAAGTCCTTGGGCATGGACACAATGTAGCCAAGTTCCTTGCTATTGTGTAGCAAGGTTGATCTTTTGTCCAATTCCCAGTAAGTTCTTCATTTCTGTCTTGGACCTCATCATCAGCATGGCCTTTACTGTCCACAATTCTATCAGCATTCTGGTCACAATCATTTAACCAGTCTCTAAAATGTTCCAAATTTTCCCTCATTTTTTTGCCTTCTTCTGAGTCTTTCAAACTCCTCCAACCTTTGCCCGTTACCCAGTTCCAAAGCTGCTTCCTCATTTTTAGGTATCTATTTAGAAATACCCCACTCCTCCACACCAATTTTCTGTACTAGTCTGTTTTTGTGTTGCTGTAACAGAATACCTGAGACTAGGTAATTGATAAAGAACAGAGGTTTATTTGGCATATAATTCTGGGACAGCTGTATCTGGTGTGCGCCTCAGGCTGCTTCTACTCATGGTGGAAAATGGCAGGCAGCTGTCAGGTACAAGTAGATCACATGGTGAGAGGAAGCAACAGTGAGAGAGAGGGGAGGTGTCAGGGTCCTTTAAACAACTAACAAAGTGAGAGAACTCACTCACTGCCTCCCCAAGGGTGTTAATCTATTCATGAGGGATCCACCTCCATAATCCAAGCCACTCCCAACATTGCCAAGTTGGGGATCAGATTGTGACATGAACTTTGGGAGCACGACACACCCAAACTCTATCAACAGGCATCCCAGAAGTTCTTTCCTACATGCCAAAAAATTGTTTCTTGTGTGCACTCCAGGGTGAACACTGCCACTTCCCAAACCATATGGTGTAAATGAGGTTCTGTAAGAACAGGCAAGTTACATGACCAGATCTGCATTTTAATGGTCATCCACCAGACACCAATGGGGAAGTGCTTGAGGGAGAGTCAGAAGGGAAGAAAACAGGGTGACAGATGAGCAGTCTGTCTCTACATTAGAGCAGTAAGCTTACAGAACAAAAAAGTAATCCTATAAAAGAGAAAAGAAAAGAAAAAGCAAGAACAGAATGTGGTACTAATTTGTTGTACAGGGGGTATAAGGAAGAGTTTTACTTCCAGGTTATCTACATGAAGGCAGCTAGTTAGGAACTGGCACTAAAAAGTGATATCTGGAAAATGGAAAAAGAATATAATGGGTAGAAGTGACACACACTTGGACGTACGATATTTGGAGTATCTGAGGTACCACATGTGGGATGTCATTCTGGCAACTGGATATAAGATTCCAGAATTCAGGAGCAAGATCTAAGCTAAAGATAAAGACTTGTAAAGTATCAGAATTACAATGGTACCCAAAGCCATTACAGTAAATGAACCTAAGAGATTGGGGGTGGGGGGGAGGAGGAAACAAGTACAGGATCTGAGGAAGTGCTAATAAGTAAAGATAGAGAAAAAGAAATAGACTGTGAAGACCAAGAAGAAATTTTCTGAGTTTATGCCACAAATAAAGGAAAGCTCAGTATTAAGAAGTCTACCAAAATAATTAATCACATTCCCGGTTCTATGGAGAAAAATGCTTTGATCATCTACACAGACATTCAGAAGGTACTTTTAGAAACACATTCTAGGTTTCTATTCCACACATAGAAAGCTTAGAGGTCATCACTCCAACCTAACAACAAATAAAAAGCTGAAGGACTGAAAAATCAACAACTCTTCTTGGATCCATTAGAGAGGAAAACACACAGAACAAACTGCTGTCCCCAAGATTAGAGAGACAGACAAATACAGGGAGTTGTGGCTTATAGGAGCAGAGACTCATCTACAGAAAGTAGTGGTTCCACCACAGGAACCACTGCTGAAGCAGAAAATCCTGAATTGTGACTGACAAATTGCTACATGCTCAGTGTGGACAAAACTGAGAGTTAAGAACTGCAGGGGGACCCAGTCATAGGTGGGCTACTAGAGTATTGTGAAGTTCACCTCTAAGAGCTCAACCAGATTCCTACAAGAAACTCCCCTACTGCTTCCACCCCTGGGAGAGGAAAAGGAACCATTTTTTTTTTCCTTCTTTTTTTTTCTTTTTGTCTTTTTTTGTGACCGGCAACGGATCGCAACCCTCAGTGTCGCGCCCGTACCGGACCGGGACTGGCAACGGGATCGCAACCCTCGGTGTTGCTCCTGCACCTCGCTCAGCCAGTGAGCGGCCGGTCTGCATGTGGGATCTGAACCCTCAGCGGGAGCGCCACTGCGCTTCCCAAGCGGCGCACTGTAGCAGTGCGCCACCGGGCCGGCCCCAAAGGAACCATTTTGAAATATGTGAGAGCACTCCGTTCTTCTTAACGAGGCCTTCTCTCAGGAGAAACCACCTAGCTAGAGCCTAACCAGCTGTAGTATTAACAGAACCTACATGACTTAGGTGAAGAAAAATACCCAATTGCAGCCCACTCTAGCCTTTCACATGGGAGTAGGAAAATATTCAGTTCTGGCCAACTCCAGCCATCTTGTTCCACCTAAAAGAAAAAAAAAGAAAAAAAAAAAAAAGAGAGAGAAACACTTGTGAATTTCACAGTCCAAAGACAGCTTGTTAAAAGAAAAAGACTTAATCATAGGACTACAGAAACTTCTGCTATGGTCTGAATGTTTGTGTCCACCCCAAGTTCATAATGTGGAAATCAAATCCCCAATGCGCTAGAATTAAGAAGCAGGGCCATTAGTAGGCGATTAGTCATGAGGGCAGAAGTCCTCAGGAGAGGGATCGGTGCCCTCATAAAAGGCCAAAATAAAGCTTCCTTGCCCCTTCCACCACATAAGGAAATGAAGCAGGAACCATCTGTGAGGAATGGGCCCTCACCAGACACTGAATCTCATGCAGCCTGATCTTGGACGTTCCAGCCTCCAGACTGAGAGCAACAATTTTCTGTTGCTTATACATTACCCACTGAAAGGTATTTTGTTGTAGCACTCAAATTGACTAAGACAGACTCCCCTTCTCCACGCCTCACCTCCACACCACTGAATGCATATTCACAGCAGTTCCTTTCACCTGTAACATCATGTCTGGATATTGAAAAAAACTACAAGGCATTCTAAAAGACAACAAAAGGAAAAAAGGCTAAGCGTTCGAATGGATAAAGTAAACTGCATTCAACAACAGATGGATAATGTAAGGAGACAGAACTCCTCAGAAAGAACCAAAAAGAAATATTAGAGATTAAAAGTACTGTAAAAAAAAAAAAATGAACAATGTCTTTGATTGCCTTATTGGTAGACTGGACACAGATTAGGAAAGAATCTCTGAGCTTGAGGATATCTCAATAGAAACTTCAAAAATTGAAAAGTAAAGAGAATAAAGACAGAAAAGAACAGACCTTGATGTCTAAGAACTGTGGTACAGCAACCAAAATGGAATAATGAGAATACCAGAAGGAGAAGAGAGAGAGAAAATAACAGAAGAAATATCTGAAACAATAACATTTGACAACTTCAGCGAATTAGTGTCAGACACCAAACTA